TATATATATATATAGAGAGAAAATAAATTTTCATATATATATATATATATATAGTGGAATATTTTTAATATCCAAAGAATTAAATTAAAACTTGACCCTACTGTTGGTGCATGTAAACAAGTTTGTGGAATATTATCAATCACTGAACGTTAAACGTAATTTTTGTGATGTTGTTGCATACATGAAATAAATAAGCAAAAGATGTGAGTAATTGTGAAAATTTCAGTTTCACTTGTGTGACAAATGATCAAACAGCACCCTCGTCAGGTTAACTGAAAACCTGATTAGTGACCAAGAATCGATTAGATTTATAATAACTAGGTAGGCTATAGAGAAATCTAAAATTTAGATTTATTAATTTCAAGCTTATTGATATATATTTTTAAATATTCCTTTTAAAGAAAAATATTGTTGAACATCTAAAGTTGGGCCTTCAAAATTTCATTCAAAGATCTTTTACCATCTGCCAATTCAAAGAATACTGCACATCTCTTTCGATGTTGCTGCTAGGTTAATATACAGTGTAACCCAGATATAAGAGAGTTTATCAGGACCGGAGAAGAAGTCTCTTATATCCGGGTTTGGTCTATTTTATATACATTAACACAGGCTCTAATTTGGGACCAGAGAAAATCTCTCTTATATCCGGGTTTCTCTTATATCCGGGTTACACTGTATATGAATTAATTGAGAATCAGAAATATCAGAACTTTTTGGGGTATCGTAATCAGCATTGGAATCGGAGAATTTTTAACCTAATTTCCAATTCCAAAAACGATTCTTTGGATTTTTTTTTTGTTTAAAACTTAATTTTCCACTCCTGGTACTAATGCTAAAAATAATAACACCTAAGTTATGTATGATGTAAATTTATTTTACTTGTGTGTAAATAAAAAAAATAAATAAATAAATAAAAAAAAATAAATAAATAAATGAAATCTGCAAGTTTCTACTCTGTTCTCAAACTTTCCATAAAGTTCAAAAGTTTAAAGTCTTTCAGTTTAATTTTTAATTTCTTTTTAAACATTGTTAATTCACCCATTTAATATTTTAAATTATTAATTTAATAACTATAATCAAAATTATGTAATATAAACAGAAAATGTATTCACATTGTTGTCCTACCAGGCTTTTTTTTTTTTTTTTTTTTTTATAAAAAATAAAATGAATGTTAAGAAATTCCTGCTAATGTCACATTTGATTTCTTGACATAAAAAATTGACCTTGTGTCACAAATTGTCTTTATGGTGAGGCAGTTAAATTACAACATTTTCTTTTTATAATAGTTTTAATCCATAAAATCATTTTTTAGTTTTGGTTATTGAAAATATTTTTTGTTTACATAGCATACTACGTAAACAAAAATAAATCTTTTCAATAACCAAGACTTAAAAAAAAAAAAGTAAACATTTTTATGAAACTTAAATTTTTTTTCTACGAAATTTATGTATTTCTTAACATTTTATAGCTTTTGAAATGATTTTCATCTTTATTTACTTAAAAAATAAACACTTATTTGATGTTTTCTAAAAAAAAAAAAAAAAAATTTTCACACAAAGGTTTTTATTAAGAAACAAATCTTAACATTTTATAGCTTTTGAAATTATTTTCATCTTTATTTACTTAAAAAATAAACACTTATTTGATGTTTTCTAAAAAAAAAAAAAAAAAAACTTTTCACACAAAGGTTTTTATTAAGAAACAAAAATTTCATTTCCATAAAAAATTCTATTTAATTTTATTTTACTAATATTTTTCTTTGGCATAATTGAACTTTCCTGAATTATTATGGCATTTAAAATATTTTTAACTTTTTTTTTTTCCTCATTTATTTCTCCTTGGAGATGCTAGTTTTATAAGTAGAAGTGTATTAAAAAAATGAAAGATGAGTTAATTTGGCTGTAGTTAAATGACTGGCTGCACATAGCATTTATAACAGCAATATTTGCAAGCCAAGAAGCAAAGACAAATATATCACTTATCAAATACCCTTAGGCCTACTGACGATAAACATTCAAATTGTTTGCATATTGACAAGTATTGTGGAAAGAGAGATTCTGACACTATTGCTTGTTAGTGTTGTGAATAAAAAAGAAAATTTATTATTATTGTAATTTTCAGCTGAATGTTAAAAAGAATCAGCAGCAAACTTTTCTCTGTCACTATAATGGTCAGTCCCCATTGCAGACTCTAGCTCAGTCACATATGTGTCTGTCCAATACCCACGGAGCACACCAGTAGTTTATACTACAACTTTGCTGAGCTTAGTTGCAGTTTCTGGATGAAACAGAATAATGCCAGTATGCTGAAGCCCTCGGCCACGATGACTTGTGACTTTGTGCTAGCACAACCGTCAACAGTTTCTCAACAGTTCTGTTCCCATGATTTCACTGATAATGCATGGGTCAACCTGTGATATAATTTCTGCACGCTGGGATTGCATTCAGGTTGATAACATCAAAGAGTCACCTTCCTAACAGATTGAGCATGATGAGATTCAAATCCAGGTCCCATGGTCAGAAAGCAAATGTTCCTAACCACCCAGTCCCATTCCCATATATTGTCTGTATAGAAAATAAGGAAATATAGTAACTGGGTAGCTTTTACCAGAGTTACTTGTTAATTCATATGCATAATTTAAAAAAAAAAAAAAAAAGGCTTTTATTTTTAACCCATTGATTTACATGGTTACAGACTAAATGCAGTTAAGTCTGTAGCTTTATAATGAGAGAAAAAAATTTTACACAACAAATATTTCAGTTATTTACATTCAAACTATTATCCTCATCTTTGTTATTATCACATTGTTTCAGCCATTGTGCCCTCCAGTGTTTTTCAGGTGTCTGTTGATCCAGATAACCGTCAGAGAACTTCAAACTGAACACTTTATTTAATCTACAAGGAAGATTGTTCTCATTTCACTGTCTATATCTAGGGATTATCTACTCTTGTCCTCTTTTTAGTACAGTTCAGTTATTATTCAGTCAGTTATGAGCCATGATACACACTTAGGTGATCATGTATATTTCAATACATGACTGATGAGGCAGATTTTTTTTCGCCCCCCCCCAACAGTAGGTTGCCATTTCTTTCTGTGGTAGACCAGTTGTCATCTGAGGCTATAGAATCCGGTCTGTCCTGCTATTTACCCATAGCCAGGGGAAGAAGAGGATTCATACCTTTCCCAAGGGTATTAGCACATAAGTGAATGTAACGGATTCGACTGGAATTTGAACTCAGCTCTCCAATTCCTCAATCTGAGCCACTATCCATTACTCCACCATGCAGTTATTGCTCGCCTTCTTTCTACTAAGTTTTTGTGCTACCCTAGTGGATTGAAGTATTGCTTCATGAATTTGGTAACAGTAACCATGATTTCAATCCCTGGGGCACGTAGAACCGACTTAGACTTGGTGAAAACAAGGCAAGCAATAACTAGACGGTACTAAATTAGAACAAGACTAGATAACCCTAGACATGGACGGTAGAGCACATTGATTTTGGAACCGAGGTATTGTACTTAATTTGAAAGTTGGGGTTTCACATGATAAATAACAGCACAAAATATTTTTTTTCCAAATCATTACCTTTTTTTTTAAGGAAACTAGTTTAAAGATTATGTCTAGGTTTAAAATTTTGTCATTGGAATTTAATTCCGGTGATCAGTGAAAGCCTTATTGGACAGCCGTTATAAAATTTATATATTACTGAAGGTTTACAAAGTGTATATAGACGAGATGCATGGCACAAGGACATTATTACTAAATTATTATGCCATCAAATAAGACCTAATTTATTTAAAGGGAAGCTATACTGAACGATTTAGCTATATTATGATGTAATATATTAGACACAGTGCCATAGTTTTAGTGTGATTTTTCAATAAACAATGCAAATTTAAAACATTCTGTCTTATAATTAGTGCCCAGCAATATTATAGTGTTATATACACTTTTATTTTTTGTTTTTAACAAATGACCTAACAAATCTTATTCATTGAGTAGCCTTTTTTTATACTCTCTGACAATTTTTTTTGTTTTTTTTACAGTTTGTACTCATTTAAATACAGTAAAAAGAAAATTGTATATTTTGCTTGTGATTCATAATCAGAATTCAGTTTGAATATATTTTCCATTCAATGTATCTAATACAAAAAATAACTTTATTTGGATTTATTCTTGCAATAGTCAAATTTGAAGTGAGTTTGGAAGCAAAAACCTGTGGAAATTAGGTATTTTTGTACATTTTTTTTTTTTTTTTTTTTTTTTTTTTCAGACAGTCTTTAAAACTAAATGCTCAAAAATTGGTAAAAGTTATCTAATCTAATTTTTGGTCTCACTTATCACATCAAACCCCAGCTTCCACACCAAGTGCAATGTTGAAAACGTGAAAAAAATCAACCTGCCATAATGGGAAGTGGAACGACAACAATGTATCCCCCAGTGATTTTTCTTTTTTTTTTTTTTCTTCTTTTTTTTTTTTTTTTTTTTTTTTTTTTTTTTTATTTTTAAAGGATTCAATTTTAAATGCTTGGAACACCTGAAGTAGGCCAGAGAATACAGTGGGTGAACTGTTGTGATAATAACAAGATGAAAATATTAGCCCAGGTGTAAATGATATATAAACTCATCATCCTTGAGATTCAGATAGATTATATTGAAATATTCAATGCACTTTATCGAACAGTTCTCCATTAATCACAAATATAAAGCATTATACAGTGAAACATTTACATCAAATTTCCAGCTAATAACTGTGTCGGGCTGCCGAGTTATTGATCCACTCTCATATTGGGTTTCTTCAACTGTTATAATGGCTTAAGAGCCACACATCCACTGACCAAAATACAATGTTGAATTTTGCTTTCTCCTTGAAGGCAATAATGATTTTTTTTTTTTTTCCCCTTTTTTTTTCCTTTTTTTTTTTTTTTCCCTTCCTTAAAATTACATTTTCCAGAAATTCTTTTGTTTTTAATTCTTTTGTTTTTTTTTTTTTTTCAGTTTACAAAACTGTGACTGGTGTCAATGGTCCTTTGGTAATCTTGGATGATGTCAAGGTTTGTTTTTCTTTCGCCTTTCTTTCTCTTATTCAGTTAGTTTAAGTCTCATTCTATTGTGTATTATTTAAGAATTCATTAATGCATGTAGATTACAAAAATATAGCAATTATTTGTGACTGAATGCAGCAGTTGTAATCATCTTTAGAATTTGCTATACAAAAGTACTTTTAAATAAATGAATTATAGATTTGCAATGTTAAGATTTAAAAATTGCAATTGCTATCTTTGCCTATGTCTGATTGCACCCCCATCACAAGATAGTCACTCCAAGAAATTTTTTTTTCTTTTGTATAACATGTACTTTTTTTTTTCTTTGGTGTCGTGCAAAATTTGGTATGTTAAAATCTACTTGTGTCCTGTGAATAATATATATAGATATTTGTGAAGAGACTTGCATGTTTTAGTTCATTTATAAAATGTCCTAAGAAAATTTCCCCAGTAATGTCTTTGTTCATGTACATGAAAAAGTATGGAAGACAGAACATTACTTAGGTTGAAAAAAATTGGATTGAAGCATCCAAAGGGCTTATTCTAAAGAAAAAAAAATGTTTCAAATTTGTTTAGAGCTTATAAAATGGAAAAAAAAAATCGAGGATAAAAAGCTAAAAACACAATTGGCTGTTAGACCTGGTATTTGGTTGGAAAATATTGGATCAAAACATCCAAAGGGGTTATTCAAAAGGAAAAAAATCCTTCCTGTTTGAAATTTGTTTAGAGCTTATAAAATGGAGGGAAAAAAAATCAAGGAAAAAGCTAAAAACCCAACTGGCTGTTAGACTCAGTATTTTAACAAGTCATTTATTGAGTTCTTGATGTTTTTATCAGCAAAAAACTCTTCATGGTTTTAATGAGAGCAGAATGGAACAATTGGATACAGCAAGGTTTTGCTATGACCCCTACTAGACAAAGGAAAGTGCAAATAAGTGGAGAATTATACAGGGATTAAGTCATTTAAGAAATGTGGTATCAGTAATTAATGGGACCAAGAAAGACGTCATCTTTGAGCCTAGTATTGGATCCAATCTCGGATTCGCTTTCAAGCGATAGAGAAAGCAATGAGGGTTTGGTAGGTTTAACCCCCCCCATTGCTTTGTCTAAACCAAATAACAAACTTTTTTTGTGTTGTTTTTGTTGTTTTTCTTTTTACAAGATTTTCTTATTTTGATGTTTTCAGTTCTTTTGTGTTTAGAACAGCGCTTCTTAAACTATGGGTCATGAACTGAAATGCTGGGGTTGTGAAAATTAAATTCAAATACTTGAATTTCAGTTTATATGTTATTTCATAAACACAAAATATTTAACGTGATGCGCCACGCAAGTGCTGCAGTAATAAAACGCACGTGTGGCACCGTTGCAACTAGTGAAGTGACAACATTTGTATTTTCAGTATAGTTGGTTAATACCTGGAGTCACAAAAAATCTTGTGATGAAAAATGGGGTCATGAATGAAAAAAAAAAAAAAGATGCGCTGGTTTAGAACAAAAATATATATATATATATATATATATATATTAGTTATGAAGAACTTAGCAATCTGTATGGGTAATCACTTACACTACCCATCAATTTTAATTTCATTTTTGGAAGTGCTATCTGATGATCTGGCGTCCTTTAAAAGGGCTCTGGTGAAATAAATTATTATAATGGTACCTTAAAGTGGTCTGTTTTCCTTTTAAATATATATATATATATATATATATATATATATATATATATATATTATGTCCAGGAAAGGGATATATTTGATCAAAGTAGCTAAGTGGGTTTTGGCTACTGTAACCAAGTAGTACACAGTAGCAGTAATCAACTGGTACTTGTCGTAATCGTAGGTAATATGTGTAGATCAATAGAATAGCTAATGGCATGTCCAATGGGCATCGTCATAGACTTATTCTCTGTCGTACCTACATGACCATCTGTATTTATGATGGACACCAGCCAATCATATTCCAGTGAGGGGGAACACAGGTGTATGCATATTCCTTTATATCAAAATATATATATATATATATATATATATATATATGTGTGTGTGTGAAAAGTGTATATAAATATAAATAAATATATATATATAATTATTTATATATTATATGCAGCAGTACTTATTAGAAAAGCTCAATATCAGAGATAGAGTTAACATATTTGGTTGGATAGATGACATCTATCCAAATAAATATATATAATATATATATATATATATATATATATATATATATATATATATATATATATATATATATATATATATATTAATTTTAAAAAATATCAACTTGAATTTTTGTTCATTTAAAATCTTTCAAATATGACTTTTAGCTTTTTTTTTTTTTTTTTTTTTTTTTTTTGAAGTTGCATTTCATAAACCAGTGCATTTTCTAAAAAAAACAATATCCAGTTCTCTGTTTTTTTTACTAGTTTCCATAATTAAGAGGGTTTCATTCCTGATATCGGGGTTGGAAAGTTTTATCCTCAGGGTTTACTCTCAAAATTTAATACAACAAAATATGTTAATATATAAATGTTTTGGTTCTCGAAAAATTCATTGAAACTCACTAGATGGCAGCGCTAATTGCAGCCATATTGGCGCACAGTGATTCCATTATAAAGCCACCAGGTGGCAGCCATATTGGAATAGATGCAATGTGAGATATTAAATCTATCAGTTTTATTATATACTTATTCTTTATGCAAGCTGTGATATATCACAGGTAGAATTTATTAAATCTTTGATTCATTCTGATATAGTGACATAGCAAATACTAAAAGCATATGCAGAATGGAAAGAGATGCCAATTTTTCTATTTTACCTTTGGAAGATAAATCAAATATAATACATGTTAGATCTCTATAGAAGCTAATTACATTTAGTAACATGTCTGAGAGTGGTTCACAGGGTGGGGGTATAATCTTTCTCAAAGATTCTGTAGATGGCTGATATACTGGCAGTCATAAATGATTTGACAAGTGGTGAATTCTAAAACATGGAATTGCTCGAGTGTACAGAAACCACAGTGTACATAGAATCATTTTGTCACAGATTTTGGGGTGTGGCAGTTTGAAAAAATAAATTCTGTTGGCAACAGGAGCCTGGTAGATTGTTTACAATGTGGAAAAATGTCAAAGAAAATCAACTGAAATGGCGTTATTGAAAGAGGTGAAATATAGTTTTATGGACTATTTACATTATTCAGACTATTGTCCTCATTTTTATTGCCATACTTATCACAACGTTTCGGCCATTGTATGCTCTGGCCTTCTTCAGGTGGTTAGAATGTTGAAATGAACCCTTTATTTCGCTAGCTGGTGTAGACTGTTTTAGTTATACATGCCATGTCTAATGGATGTCAGTTATCTGTTATCTCCTGTTAATTCATCTCTCCAAGTTCTCCACTGCCTTAACCAGGTATTGAACTCCCAACACTTTGGGTCCTGTCACTGGATCTAACCAATGCCTTTATCCACTGTGCCATGTGTCCTTAAGGAGAATTCTCAAATATACACTATTTACATTATTTGGACTATTGTCCTCATCTTTGTTACTATATTTATCACGTTTCAGCCATTGTACGCTCCAGCCTTCTTCAGGTGGTTGGAATGTCAAACTGAACCCTTTATTTTGCTCAGTCAAGAGAATTATTGAGTTGCTAGTCATTAGAAATACAAAGAGAAAATGGTTGCTAGGGATAAAGGTGTAACTGATCAACTTGTACTAGATTTGAAAAACACTGGTATGTTTTCAATTTGTTTAGATGAAAGTACCGTATATATTCATGTATAAGTTGCACTTTTTTTTACCAAAACTTTCACAAAATATTAGGGGTGCAACCTATCCACTCAACATAAATGTAAACCAACGTCAGGATTTCTGAGAAATCGGAAATGATACTCATAAACCCTAAACTTTAAAAACCACAGCTTTAGTCACTAAAGCTGTGGTTTTTCTCCATATAGAAACAATTTATCTATCATGTATACTGACTCACTGCTTTAATTAAACTTACATCATGCTGCTAGATTCACATATTCATCACAATAAATAAATAAAATTATAAAGTATTCATTGATTCATCAGTCACCATTCGGTTGAGGCCCTCACACTAGACTGATATAGAAACCCTGAATATGCATCTACATGTTATGTAGATGTTTATTGACAAAAAAAAAAAATAGTCCCATGACTTATTCTGCAAAATATATATATTTTGTCAAAAATACATTAGAAAATATAGCTTAAACAAATGAAATATATTCTTTATGAGATAATTTTTTTTTTTTTTAATGTTTGTTTCATATAATATTAAAAAGCATTCTTAAGTGTTACAGTGTAACCCGGATATAAGAGAGTTGTCGGGACCGGAGAAGAAGTCTCTTATATCCGGGTTTGGTCTATTTTATATACATTAACACAGGCTCTAATTTGGGACCAGAGAAAATCTCTCTTATATCCGGGTTTGGTCTATTTTATATACATTAACATGGGCTCTAATTTGGGACCAGAGAAAATCTCTTTTATATCTGGGTCACACTGTATTTACAAATAACAAAGTGCATGAATCTAGTACCCAAAATAGATAAACACTTTTTCTAAATGTACTGTAAGATTTTCTTTTTGTATTTTTTTTTTTTTTTTGTTGAATTGACTCGATATAAAAATAATATGCAGTAAATATAAAAATGCCTATACAACATGTACTTCCTTTTGTTTACATGATTGATGAAATGGCCAGGTTCCTGCTGTCAACAGAATTTTTTTTTTTTTAAGCTGCCACACCCTGAAACCCATAACAAAATGATCGATATGTACACTGGTTTCTGCACACACTAGCAATTCCAAGGTTTCAGACCAGATGTGTATTTGGCTTGATCTAAATAACTTGAAATGGAATTAGTAAACTCCCAAGAAAGTACAGCATGGAAGACAAAAATTTATCAAGCTTCACCTTCAGAAAAAGATCATTGGCCAATATATGAAAAGAAAATGAACTCTTAAAAAGCAGAGC